CCCCCAAGGGGCTGGTTCTGCAGTATCATGGCTGCCCACTCCTTTTGGAGGACTCTGGGGGTACAGAGCTAGTAAGACAGCTGCTGGCCAGGACTCCCTGGTATGCTAATGGGTGCAGCAGCTGGGGAGGGGGGTGGCGTGAGGTGCTGAACACCCAAGGCCCCCTCCTCTGGAGAGGTGTCACCACTAGAGGGGTCAGGGTGGGGAGTGAATTTAGCCAGACTGACCATGCTGGTAAACACTGCAGGGTTGTGGCCTGGGTCCAGGGAGGCAAAATTTGAGTCATCTCCCACATAAAGGGCATGGTCTTGTGGGCACAACCAGGCCAACAATTGTGGTTAGTCATGGCCATACACTGTGCCTGCAAGGTCTTCATCTTTATGCAGCACTGCCATGCCATCCAGGAGTACCATTCATCATGTACCCCACCTGACTGGACCTCATAAATATGGGTGTTCAAGCACCCACCCCATGCAAACTACCTCTGGACTTATGCAGTGCTAGGCAGAGGGTTACGGCCAGGAACTGGGAGCCACACAACACAAGCAAATGTGCCACAGCACCTGAAGACACAGGAGACAGTGCTGGGGGTGAGCAACAGCAGGGAGCAAGTTCTGGCTCTACTGCCAGAGGCAGCCAGGAAGCTGCCCCAGGGAGATGTCAGGGCTGGGCAGGGGGAGGAACAAGCTGCAGCCCTTTGCAACACTCCCCTGTGGCCAAGCAGGAGCTATGGCTAGGGGGCAGGACTGGCAGAGGCAGCCTGGGCCCTGTCCAAGGGGCACACAGGGCCTGCAGATGTCCAAAGTCCTAGTGTGTGTGCCTTTTGCCACAAAATGGCTGGAGGATTTTATAGCCAGCAGCTAGGGGCTGCCACAGAGCAGCTCAGGATGTGGCAGGAGAGGCAGCCAGTCAGGAGCCATGGGGCTGGGCTCAGGTTAGCCTCCTAGTGGCTTGGATAGCTCAGCACTAAAGTTAGTGCTGGGTCATGTCTACATGTGTGTTGATATATTTTAAATAATTGTACCTAAATTTGATACTTGAAAATGAAGGTATCAAATTTATCTACAATTAGCCATTTTTAATGCACAGTAAGGGTGCACATGAGTAGATGCATATCCATACCATGCATTAAATTAGGCAAATGCACATCAGTGCATTTCATGTTTATGCACCCACAGGTGTATAGACAAAATACTTCCTTGGGCATCTAAAACTTCTTTAAGATATTAAATAGAGACTTATTTCACTGAACAGGATGGCACCTGTGTAAACAGAAAAGTTGTGCTGTGTATCATGGATTGTCATTCCAGAATTTTTGGAGGTTATTTGATAGCCATCACAGGCAGTTGAATTTATAGATCAGGGGTGAGAAAAGTGGTGGATCTAGCCAGTGTCCAGACTCTATTTCGCAGAAGCTCCTGTCCATGTCGCTGTAGCCAGTTCCCATGGGGACCCCAGGAGTGGCACAGCCATGACAGCCTGGGGTGAGGGTTTCTATGGAGATCAGCCCCAGCAGTGCTGGCAGGGCGTGTGGCTGGGCAGAGACCTGCTCAGGGGCGAGAGGTGGGATCTTGCAGTGGTGACAGCATGTTCCAGAGCTGGGGCAGAGCTACAATCCTCTGCTTGCACACTCCTGCATGGGGTATGCAGGAAGTGGAACACAGCTCTGTCCCAGCTCTGGATCACACTGTCACTACCACAAGATCCCGGCCCTGGAGCAGCTCCTCACCCTGTCACATGCCCTGCCAGCACTGCAGGGGCCAATCTCCATGGAAACCTTGGCCCCAGACTGCAATGGCTCTGCCACTCCTGTTGTCTCTATGGAAACCAGCTTCATCCATGTGGGCAGGTGCTTCTAGGAAATGAAGTCTGCCATGAGCCTGATCCAGCGCACAGGCTGGACTTTGCCCACCCCCATCATAGACCAGAGTAGATAAAAAAAGATATTTTGCCTTGCCCACTTCTTTGAGGGGAGAATCACCCTGGTCAAGATCTGTACAGATTAAGAAATACCAAAGGAGAGCTGCTAAACAGTTTATATATTGATATTTTTCATCAGCACAAAATGATGGTCCCAAAAAATTGTATTGCCTTTTCTGCTTCAAGTGCTAGACAAAGGACATGATTATTCATTTACTGAATGTGACGAATGATGTTTAGTGTTTGCAAAATTATTATGGGTTGTTCCTTTTCCTGTAATGAAGTCAAATTGAAAAAAAGTGACGTGAAAGCTAGCCAGCTTCCTAACAGTTTAACATATATTTTATTTTTACCGATAAATTATAATAGTCACCACAATTGATGGTCTTCTATATTTTAGGGGTACAGTTATTTTAATTTCCAGATAGGATTTGGCCAATGGTCCTTCTCACTGAAGGAATGAAAGAACTTTTGAAATACACTAAGAAAATAAGAAGTGACAAAAATGATTTAAAGACCTCTCTTCAATAGCTGTCTGTTCCTTTAGATTTGGTTCATGTCATTTTAGAAAGCTGTTGATAGCTGTGAATCAGTACTATTTGTTTTAAAAAGAAAAAAAAAAAGGAACAATACTCTTTTATAGACACATCATCTACTGTCTACTATCACCAATGGAAGTGGAAACCAATATAAGCAAACACTGAGATAGGTATCTCTTTGTTTCTTGCTTTGTTTTGTTTTTTAATGAATAATAGGGAAAAAAAATAGAGGTATATGAATCAGAGGTGCATGGATACATAATGGACCAAATCCTGTTCCACCTAATAGGTGGCTAAATGTAATCCTATTCCAGACTCCTCAGGTGTCCCCACAAGCACACATGCTCATTTCCTCAGGGACAAATAGCAGCAGCACATAGTTGTTCCATGTCTACTTGTCCCTGGGGAATGCTCCTGCATGCAAGCTCTAGTGCAGGGCAAGTTGTCCTGGGTGTGGTAGGGGAGCCTGGGTACAGCACCTAGGTTGACCCCAGCAGCCTAACCTGGGGTAGTGAGGGCCTATTGGGGATCCAGTCTCCAATTTCAGGTAGCACATACTACAGCCATGTGTCCTGCCCCATTTTTTGCACATTTGTTTAAATACTGGTACTTCCCCGTACCTAATTTTGACATGAACTGCATGTGTTTTGTGGCACC